GTAGGGGAGATATTGGATGACCAATGGGAAAACGAGACCTGGGCACAGAGCCTTGAACACATGGTTGTGTGTGCTCGTACATATTTGTGTTGTGAACAAAGGAGACATAACATGGAGTACCAAGGAATACTGGCTCACCCTTTGTTGTAGAATTAAGCCTAGAGCTCTGGCTCATTCCCTTTGTCCTGCTCTTGCTCAGGCAGGGATAGCTCAGAGATGAGTGTGCTCTGGCCTAGTTTTTGAGGAGCTAGTGGATGCAGTACATGTGGACAGTCAGCAAGAAACAGAGCAAAAGCTGTGGAGAGAGGGAGAGGGAATGAAGAGGGAGCAGGACACAGGGAAGAGAAGGCAGCCGGGGGGAGCTGGGAACGGGGAAGGTAGAAGCGGGGACCAGAGGAAGGAGGCAGGCAGGAGGAGGATGCCTGCATACTTCTCACCAAGCTTCTCCCTGAATGGTAGAGCTAGGGGACATTCTCACTGAACAAACTCACTGAGCAATGGATGAAGATGTGACTTTGTGGTCTGTGCACAAAGGTGCCTAACTCAGATACTAGACTCTTCTATGTCTTTTACATCTGTTCCTTTTTCTTCCCATCCTCCATGTCCTTGTACTGCCGCACTCATACATCACTACTTTTCAATGGATGTGGAGTTGCAGTAGGTGATATTCAAGTTAGAGTTTAGAAAGAACTAATATATTCCTTTATTATCTAAGTATCATTTAACTCCCCCCCAGCTCCATTTCCTGCTGCTCCCTTCTCACTACCCTTACTCCACCCCTCTCACCCTCACCATACTCCCTTATCCCCAGCCCTGCTATCCTCACTGTGGCAATTTTTAAACATGTCACAGTTTTTAAAAATTTTGACACTTCTCCCATTGAGAGGAAGAGTCTGTACCTCCTCCTTTTGAGACCAGGCCAAATTGGAGCCTCGCTAATCAATGAAATACAGCCAAAGTGATGCTCTGTGACTTCCAGGCAGACCATAAAAGGCATTAGTTTCCTCTATGTTCTCTTGGGATTCTAACGCTAGGAAGCCAGTCACCATGCTGTGAGGAAGCCCAAGCAGCCCAGTGGAGGACAATGGAGTCCCCCAACCTCAGCCCACCAAGGTCCCAGCCCACAGCCAGCACCAACCTGCCAGGCATGTGTAAATAAACTACCCTGGGAGAGGGTCCTCTGGCTGCCCCTGCTGACACTGCCTGGAATGAGGAGGAGCCTTGCCTGCTGGGCCCTGCCCAAAATACACACTCATTAACTAACTAAATAATTGCTTTTATTTTAAGCCACTAAGTATAGCTTAGTATTCAGTAGCAGACACTGATATTCTCAGCACTCCACAAAAGGTATGTACACTATAATATGCCCTCGGTTTCCTACTTTGGTCCTTGTAGCATCTGTTCCTTATAATTATCCCTTCAATAGTCTTCATTTGGTGAACTCCTATTCATTATTTAAAGCCTAATTCAAATGTCTCTTTCACTTTGAAGCCTTCCCTGAAATTCCTTCCCCTTTTTCCTACCAGGGGAAAAAATAATTGTCTCCTCCACTATGCTGCCAAATCCTTCCCTCTGCATCACAGCACGTAGCTTGCTTTAGCTGAGTGGTTTTTGTTTTGTGTTGTGTTGTTTCTTGAGATAAACCTCCTGGACAGACTTCGAGTATTTATCTCGAACATCATATCCAATCTTCATTCCAACTGCAGGCATCACCTTCCCAGTGCCTGGTGAGAAACTGACACACCAAGAAGATACCCCAGGAAAGTGGGTCAGGTTAGATCATGTTTGAGGGATTTGAGATGAAACACTGACCAAGAGAAAGTTAAAATACTGTTTCTCTCAGAGCCCTTAAAAATAAAAGCCACAACATAGCTTCACTCCTAACTGGCAGGAATGATATACTATCCTGGCCTAAAACTAATGATGAGCCCAAAGTTTTGAATTTCAAAGGTCTCTTAAGAATTGATAACTCCCTTAGCTCTGGGCTCTGTTCCTACACTTCATTTGATTTCTGCTAAGAAATCCCATTTCTGAAGGTATTTGGCTTTAGAGTCCCCGCCCCGCAACTGCCTCCCTGACTCCTACCATAACCCCTAGTGTTTTATGGTTTGCAGCAGTATGAAGGGCTACTGTCTTAAGATGCTATAATTAGCCAGGCCAACAATTCATACATAGCATATATAGCATAAAATATATATTTTCAATTAATTCTAAAATATATGTATTATGTTTTAAATATATATATATTTTCTACAGTTACTTAAAAGGTATTTTTCTCTGTAAAACTGGTTAGGGTACAGTTGTAGGGTGTAATACCTTGGTAGGTGTTGTTCAAGAGAAAACCACAGGGCAAAATGGAGTCACTTGTGCTAAAGTCATGACTCTGAACCTAGACTTAATACCTAAGCACAGTTTAAACCTTATCCAGGAGCATAATCTTAACCAGGAATTTTCTGGCCTATGCAGATAAGATAGTCTGTCACCACTTGGGCCCTGTCCGTCTCCAGGGAGGCTGAGGCATCTGCCTGATAAGACCCCTGCCTTTCCCTGAGGGAAGGTAACCTTCCCTGAAACAATCCTTTCTTTTCTTTCACTAATAACTTTCTAGTCCCAACCAGAGTCTGCCTATAAAATCATTCCATTTTGTACAACTCCTCAGAGATAGGATGTTGCCCAATTCATGAATCATTTAATAAAACCAATTAGATCTTCAAATTTGCTTGATTGAATTTTTGTTCTTTAACAGTATTTGTAAAGACATATATTACTTTACTCATCATTATAATATCATTATCTTTCTTTACAAGGGTTTTGAGGGCTACCCAAGCAGATAAGGGGCTGGGTGGGACCCAGGCCATTAATGTGTCTGGGAATGAGTACAATGAGCATGGCTAGAGCTTTCTAAGCAGCTCCTGTGCTCAACACAGTAGGTAAGCCAGTGGCTCTGATTAGCAGTCGCTATGAAGCATAGGGACCAGGTTCTGGGGGTGTTGGGAGCTTGCATAATTTGGAGGTGGTCATCTGTAAAAGAAAAAAGAATACACATTACAAATACAAAAATAGCTATAAAAGCAAATATTTATTTATAATGAAAAAAATCACCCCAAAATAAAAATTTTAAGAAGTTGATGACTACCACAAAAATCACAAAACCTAGAAAAATTTCTTCATTCTTTTTTTTACCATTAATTGTCCCAAACACCACTGTAGTACTTTTTCTAAATTTGGTATGATTTATAATCCTGACAAATATACAAAATGCATCTGAAATGGAGGCATTCATAGGAACAATTCAAATACACTGAAACATGGCTGCCACATTGTATTGAGCCACATAATTGGGTAACCAGATGTCTCTGATACTACAACATTGACTTCTTGATGAATATGTGTAGGAGTTCTGTCACTGGAACACTCGCTTCTGCAGACATTTCTCTGCGTTGGTGGCAATTTTGCGTGCCATTTTGCTGGAACCAGCAGATTTTGTCAGGACGAGATGCATCAGATAGATTAAGAAGCACTCTGACACCTGGAATGCATAAACTGTGACATTACAAACAATGCTCGTGTGCTACTATTACCAATGTGGACCCACAAACACAAGAATTTTGATCAAATTCTATTTTGTGGAATTCTCATCGGAAGAGAAGACAATGTATGGCATGTTCATAATTACACACATTCAATATCGACTGCTTTCCTAACAGAAGAGAGCTGTTTTGGGCCAGACCTTGGTGAGAGCCAAATCCTCTGGGGGCAATTTTATTTGTTTGATCTTTGGAAGACTCTTCCAGACTAGCTTCTGGCTCAGGGTATTTCAAACCTCATTTTTCCTCCTTTCTCATGTACTACCAGTGGGGGGCGCTGTAGGATGTTCACATGGTTATGAACTCATGCTGCACCTGAGTGTCCTGATGCAGAGTGGGTCAGCTCTGTGGATGATAAGAGTGTTTCTGCACCAAGATGGCTGGCGATAACTTGGCTATACAAGGAAGTTACTGAGCTACATAAGTATATCCCACTGAGCCCAAATTAAATGATTGCCCAATTCATCTTCCTCTTAGCTGGATACCCAAAATGCGCACAGCCACTAAGCATCACCCAGCTGAGGCGAAATCAGACCTAGAAGAGCTGGAATGGAAAGAGACATTGGTCTTAACAAGTTGTGGTCAACCTTCCTTTTGCACATGTTAAGAACAGGTTGCTGAGCAGGGAGGAAACCTGAAGCTTCCTCAGCTTCCAGGCAAATGTGCCCCTAGACTGGAACCGGGAGTAGATGCAATGTGGGGGTGTGTGGGGTCCCTGGGATGTTGACAGTACCCTTGACCTGGCCAAAGTCAGTGGGCCTGGAGACATCAGCCAGAGTTAAGACTCTCAACTCTGTCCCCAAGCCTCCCTATGCCTCAAGAGACCCTGAAAACAGGAATGAAAGAGAGGGTCACTGAGAGGTTTAAAGAGAGGATTGGCTGTAGCTCTTGGTAAACTGGAGCTCTAGGCAAACGTCAGCGGGTATCCTGGGCCAGTGTCACAGTGTCCTACTCCTTTTGGGTCCACAAGGACTGCCCCTTTAAAGCGGGAAAGCACGCTCTGACCGTGGACAGGGCAAGCCCTGTCTTCTGAAATCAGAGTAATCCTGCTGAGGTCCCTCCTGCCACTGCCTCCTCCCTGCTGTCAGCCGGGGGATTAGAAGAGAGGCCAGTGGATTAACGGGTTCCTCTTGTCACAGCCTCCCCTGCCAGAGTCAGCCCCTCTCCTGGAAGCCGGCTAGTCAGGTAAGGCAGCTCCTCTGTTTCCGTTTTCTGAAGGACAGAGAGAGAAGCCCCTTCTCCCACCAGGCATTGAAGCCAAGGCCGGACTGCAGGCCGGGAACCCCAGGTTTGCCAGGACCTGAAAAGCAGAAGGCTTGGGGGCATCCCAAGGGTCTGAGTAACAGACAGGCAGAGCCCACGGTCTGAGGCTGCTGTCTCTTCTCCACCCACCCTGACCCCGGCAGGAGCAGCATGCCGGGACCTCTCGGGCTGCCCCCAGACCCCAGCTGCCCCCACAGCAGGATGCCCTGGGCCCGCCGGCCCTCCCTGCAGAAGACGGCAGTCATCCTCGGTCTGCTTCTGTCCAGCACCGCCCTGTCCCCCACGTCGGGGCAGGCCAAGATTCCTCTGGAGACGTGAGCATCCAATTCAGCCCCCACCCCACAAAACCCTTTCACCCTTTCCTCCTTTCCTTCCCCTGGCAGACCTCAATCCCCTGCCCTGACCACTTCTGACCTCCCTCTGGGCTCTCCCCTGGGTTCCTGGACCAGCCACTCTCCCTTTCTTTCTGTGAAGACGTTTTCTTCACCCTCCTCTCTTCCAATGGGGAGTCCCACCTGCCCCTCCCCAGCCCCTGGTGGTTTTAAGCAGACCTGATCATCAGCGCTCACCGGGGTCATCATCCTTAGTACCTGCAGGGCAATGCTCCTTCCTGGATAAACGCTGCCATGAGGTGACTGGGAGTGGGAGCTGTATTGGCTCAAAGCGATCCTTGCACCTCCCAAAGGATCTGTTGGGACACTTGTTATAATATTCTGAAAGGGTACAACTGTTCTAAGTCAACAAAATGGCTCGTGTAACCAGGGACTAAGTCAAACTGGACTTGGGTGGTCTCGGTCTCCCCTTTCTATGCCTTTCTGCCTCCTTCCAGACCCTGATTCTACACCCTGTCATGAAGGCCAGGTATCAGTCATTTACACTTTGGTATAAATTTAAATTACTGTGGAACCCCTCTGGGAGTATCTGATTTTAGTCCTTGGCTCTGGTGGTTCTATTAAAGAAATTTCCAATAAGTGTGGAAAGCAAAGTGCTCTAGCCTAAATGAAGGAGGTTACCTGCTCAGTTCATATCTAAGTCCAGCCACTCAAGAGTAGCATGAGAGTCAGGCTACCAGAGCCCGCTGTCAACCTCACATCTTGACAGAAGTGGGGACAGGGCACCAGAGCAACACCGATGTTTTTGTTTAGCTTTGTTGATTGGTGGGTTTGAGCAGCACTGTTTCCATCTGGTTGTATGACTTCTAGTTTTTATGTGCCTGGCTTCATGATAGGTGCTTTACAAAGACAACTTTAGTCCACACAACAGTTCAGTGAGGTGGGTAACAGTATCCCCACTCTGCAGGTGAGGTAACTTTGCAAGTTTGTGTAGCCAGTAAATGGAAGTGCTGGAATTTGAACTCAAGTCAGCCTGGCCTGGGTGTCACTCTTACACCCATTGCAGCCTGTAAAACTACCTATTGCTGAGTTAAACACTGAGAATAATTTTCCTTAGGATATACACCAACCAATAATAGAAGGCAAACTCTAGGAACAGGCTGAGTGCCAAGTCAGGACGGCTGGAATCCAGATCTTGATTGAGGAGAACTTTAGTGGACCATCAACACAGAGACCTCCAGAGAGAGTCACTGAGATTAAGGACCTCCAGACATACCCACACCTGCACCTGCCCACTCCCTTGGAGCCAGGCTTCCACCTAGGACCTTTCCCCACCACCTCTCTCCCACTGGATCCGTCTTAGTATTTCCCACCCCAAAGACCCCACATTTCTCTCCTGTGAAGCTACACCAACCTCCCACTCAGCACTCAACCTCCAACATCTGACCTGGCTTTTACTGCCCCTCAAATCTGTTCCCACCCCAGTCATCAAAGACCTTCATTGCCGAATCCAGCAGGCACTTCCGGACTTATCTCTCTGGACTCTTGTTTCAGATACGAGCCTCTTGCTTTTCTTTGAGTCTCAATGCCTCAACTTTCATAACACTGTGCTGTCCTGGATCCCCTTGGGCACCTATTACCCCTCTTTCTCAAGTGCCCCTTTCCCTTTGCCTGCCCCTGAGTCTTTTGGTGTCCCCCAGGGCTTGTTGTCCACTCAGATCTCGTGCTACACACTCAGGCCTTGAGAGAGCGCAACTACTCAGAACTTCCTCCACCATCCTCATGCTAATGACTCTTAGCCCTGCCTCTACCTGTTAGACTCCTGTATCCATTGTCTATGGACAGCTCTTCCTGAACATCATGAAAGGTTTTAAATTCAACTGTGTGTCGTTCAAGATGCAGAGCAACTGGTGCTTTCCAGAGTTGGTCAACACACAACCTGCCCAACATCACTCTACAACATAGCCCTGCAACAGAAACCTCCCATCCTACGCATCCCAAGCTACACTCATCACCTTCCACCCTCCCCAGCTTGCCTCCGTGATCTTCCTGATATTCTTAATTTTATTTAATAACAGCACCATCACCTCAACCACCCAAGTGAGAAACCTAGAAGTCATGTCTGTCTCCCTCAAGCTCTTCCAAATCTATTTGTCATGCTAAACATGGGTGTCCCTTTGAATGTCTATTACACTATCTGTATATGAAAGGACAGCCCTCTAATGGAAGATTTTACAAAGGTGAAGACTAAGATGTGGCTCCAGGACTGCAGAGAAGGCCGAGCATGTAGGACATTAATAAGTACTGGCTGAGTGTCTGAATAAATGCTGATCTCAAAATGATCACGTGGGCAATCTCCATTTGCTCCATCTGGAGAGGCTCAGACACAGCCTGTGCCTACCCCCAAGACCCTACCAGCCTGTCCAGATGGTGAGATCTCAGTGTCTTTCTGGGGATGGACAAGAGGTCAGGGTTTCTCCCCAGGCTGCCTCTCGGGCCCTCGCTGCCTGACCTGCCCTCAGCAGAAGCAGAAGCAGCTCAGAGCCTTTTCCTCTGCCCTGTGCTTTGTGCTCCCTCGGAGGTTTCAACAGACGGTGCAGCAGCCTACAGTGACCTTGAGCAGGGAATACTGGAGAGGGAAGGACTCACTGAGAAGCTGTCACTGTGCCCAGGCAGGTCCTGTGTCTGTCCTCAGGGTCCTTGCTGCCCTGCCCTGGGCCTGTCCAGAGCCCTTTCCCCTCCTCTGTTCTCCATTCTCCACCCATAGACCACAGCCTTCAGGTGCTTGCAGTCCGGGTTGGGTCTTCTAGTTCATCAGCACCTGCCCCCAGCCCCTCAGCATGTATTCAGCACACTCAGTGCAGTTGCTGAGCCCCTGGTAGTCCCTGGAGTCTCCTGCTCTGGCCAAGAGAGGCAGTAGTTCTTTGTGTGTGTTTTTCTGGGTGTATGTCAGTGTGTATGCATTTGTATGTGTACATGAGTGTATGTGTGTTAGCGTGTGGACCTCTGTGTATCATGTTTGTCTCTGTTTGTGCATGTGTGCATCAGAGGATGTATATGCATGTAGATACTTGTTTTATATGTGTATGTATATCTATATGTGTGTCTCCATGTGTGTGAGTGTGTGTGTGCATGTGCATATATGCATGTACCTTCATGGCCCGGCAGGGTGAAGCTGTGGGCAGACACCTTTGGCGGGGACCTGTACAACACCGTGACCAAATACTCAGGCTCCCTCTTGCTGCAGAAGGTCAGTAACCCCCTTCCAGGGAGAAGAGCAGAGACCTCAAGTCCCTGAATGTCTGTGCTGTGAGTGGACTTTGAGATGATCTAATCCATTCCCCTCATTTTCAGATGGGAAACTGAGACCAGGGAGGGGAACAATTTGCCCAAGTCACAGAGCAAGTCAGTAGGGTGGTCAAGAGCATAGTGCCAGCTCAGAGCCCTGGAAATGGAGGTTAAGATGGAATGGACAGATAGATTTATTGGGGGTGGAGCTGTGCAGTGTAGAGGGGTGAGGGAGCGAGAATGAGCAGACTGGGATGCAGACCGGACACCTGTGAAAGGGGACAGGTAGAAGAAGAAGGGGTAAGTGGGGACTCAGCTGGCCACGTGAAAGTCCCGCAGGAGCTCCTTGAGCCAGACAGGCAGCAAGCCCATCTGTGACCTCTGCAGGGGGAGCTTCCATATGTCTATTTCTCAGGTGCTCCAGCCGGGCCGGGGAGCCACAATACCCACATAGGCCCTAGCAGAGGCCTGAGCCAGTGCCTGGCTCCTGGGTAGGATGCAGGGCCCAATGGAAAAGATGATGCACCAGTAACCCCTACCCTTATTAATTAATTGCTTTAGTGCCAATTGACACCTAGCCTGTCCTCTTACTAGATAATAAACAACCTCAACCTCATTTTCCTCTGGTATTTACAACTCCTAAGCCAATTTTAAGAATAGCTTGCCATTCTCAATCATTACCATTTGTTAAAAGCTTTATATTTAGGATTTAACTCTCATCACAACTTCATTTTTTAAATGGTGCCAAAAGTGACTCTCAGGCTTTTATGCCTACATATGACCACGATGCAGCCGCTTCCGGCCCCCCCCTCCCCACAGCCCCCAAGAGGAACCGGGAGAAGCCAGGGTAGGCCCTGTGTTCCTGCACCTCCAGAGGCCTCTGTAACAAAGGCAGTTCAGGCCAACTTCCCACTCATACCACACTCCTACTCCGCAAAGCAGCATTTCATTCAGTGTTCTCATTTGAACCCTCTAACCCCAGGTGAGAAAGAGCAAAATTATGTGACTGTTTGGGGTATAAATATCCTCTAAGTCTTTGCATTCCAGAACACTCTCTAGAGTCATGCCAATGTCACATCTTGCAGATGAAGAAACTAAGTATATTGCCTAAGGTCACATCGTCAATACGTTGCCAAATGGGCAATGTCAATGTCATTAGACATTGGTGATAGGCACACTCAGCCCAGAGAGTAAATTCGAACCCCGCTCTCCAAACTCTCCCAGACTCCCTGGAAATTTGTCAGGTGGTGTCAATACCCGACGCTGCTGAGCTTGATATGGACACGATGTGCACTATGGGGTGTGGGGGAAAGATGAACTGATGCTCAGGGACGTGTCATAGTCCATGTGAGCAGGCCCAGGAAGGTCTCAGGGACCTGGCTGTGTGACCTTGGTCAAGTCTGTTAATCTCTCTGAGCCCCAGCCTACTCTTCACTCAGGATATTAACCAAATGTGCCCAGAGCCCCTGGAACAGAGAGGACATTTGATAAGAAGCAGCTATGGTCATTAGCGGGGGAGATTCTGCAAGGAGGTGAGGGCTTGTCCTTGACTCTGGTCAAGTGAAGGCTTCACGGTGTGAATGTGCTAGTTGAAAGGGTGGAGGCCACATGTGTAGTCAGGTACCAAACATCCTGGTGCCAGATGACAGGTGCCCGTCTCTCCCACATTCCCCCTAACAGAAATACAAGGATATGGAGCCCAGTCTGAAGATCCAGAAGGTGGATGGCTTGGAGCTGGTGAGGAAGTTCTCAGAAGACATGGAGACCATGCTGCGCAGGAAAGTGGAGGCTGTAAAGGTGCTCCAGGTCCTATGTTCTGTGGGGAGATCTGCCCCAGCCCCTGTCACATCAAAAGAACTCTCACTGACATTTTAGCCCTGCATCCGCTCACCCACATCATCCTTTTCCTACTTCATGAGCATCTGCCTTGTATCCCCATGAGCCAAAATGTCCTTCTAAAGGAGGAAATGATAGCAAGGGGAGAGGAGAGGGCTGGGATTGGAGCTCTGCCTTAGAGAACAGAGTTCCACCCAATAGGATCAACCTGCCGTGTCAGGAAGGGCCCTGCATCATGATGTTATATTCAGTGACTGGTGCAGAGCAGGTCGAAATGAGGACTGAGGAGTCCTCTGCTGAACGAATGGATGAGTGGGTAGATGGATGGATAGATGGATGTGTGGTGGATGGATGGATGGATGGATGGATGGATGGATGGTGGATGTGTGGGTGGTGGATGGGTGGGAGTATAGAGGGATGGAAAGCATACAAAGTAAAGCTGCTCCCTCCTCTCCCCCTTATTCCTTCCCCTGCTCATCTCCCCACCCTCCCCCTCCTGCCATATGGACCCAACCTTCATGGCACCCAAGTGCTCTGAGGGCTGCCCAGACAGCATAGGTGCTTATAGTGATGGGCATCCTGCTCAGGTGATCCATCGTGGCATACCCACCAAGCCTGGCTTGGCCTGGTTGAAACGGAATGTGTCACTCCCCTGGCATGGAGTGCCTACCAGAATGCAATGGGGACCTGGATGGTTGGAAAGACATAGTTCCTGCTCCACCCAGCCAGAAATCTGGCCACCCAAGACCAATGTTATCCCCTGACAATTTTCATCTGGGGAGCCAGGGGAGAGCAGTAAACTGTTGGAGGGGAGGCTGAGGCCAGTGCTGAAGGCTGGAAGTGTGGGGAATGGCGGCTGAAGCCTGGCCAGCCTGCCTGCTTGTCTCCGACCTCCCCTATCAAAAGCACCGTCTGGGAGGAATCTCTGGGGCCATCTTTCCCACATAACAATTTGCAGCCTCTTTTCTCCAGGTTTAGGGGCAAAGGGCCTTAGCATCAGGAACCACTGACAAGCTATCTGGGGACTGGAGATCCCATCCTGGCCCATAGCAGGGGGACACTGACCTCCCATACAACTAGCACAGCAGTACTTCCTACCTCCTTAAATTTGCAATGCTGTGGAAACCGCCTTCCTGGGCAGAGCATAGACAGCAGAATGCAGGAATGCACACTGCAGGGGCTGGTCCTCGAGGTGCCAGGGCACGGCAGTCCGGGCCCACCCCCAGAGGCCTGGCTCTGGGCTCCAAGGGCCTCCAGCTGTGCTGTGTCTTTCCCGCAGCTTCAACCTGGGAAACCAAATCAAACCAGCGCTTGCTCCGCAGACCTTCTCCAAGCACCAGTCCCTGCTCCCTGCTCGGGGGTCCATAGGAAGCCACAACTATGGAGCTCTCCTATGGGAATGCCCATGGGGACATCTCCTGCAAGCAGTACTAAAATAACCTTGGCCCTGTGCAATTTCTTCATCACATCCTAAGAACTGGGGGTTTGGGAGCAGGGAGGTTAAGGACACTTCCACCTGATTTACAGTTATATAAATAGAGACCCAAAGAAGCTTAGTGGTTTCCTTCTGACAAAGCCAAAACAGGATCTCAGCTCTTCTCCTCTTTTTTCCTCAGATTTATTGAGGTATAATTGACAATAAAAATTATATATATATTTATATTCAGCAGCTGAAAGGTGGAAACAACACAAATGTCCATCAGCTGATGAATGGATAAACAAATATGAGATATCCATAAAATGGAGTATTATTCAGCCATGAAAAGGAATGAAGTTCTGATACATGTAAAAACGCAGATGAACCTTGAAAACATTATGCTCAGCAAAAGACTCCAGATACAACAGGTCACATACTGTATGATTCCACTTATGTGAAATATCCAGAATAGGAAAATCGATTGACAGAAAGAAGATTGGTGTTGCCAGAAGCCAGAGAGAGAGGGATATGTGAGTGACTGTTTCGTGGGTGCAGCGTTTCCCTTTGGGGGGTGATGAAAAGCTCAGGAACTAGACAGTGATAGTTGCATGATGTTGTGAATGGTTCTAATGCCACTGGATGGCACACTTTAATGTGACTAAAATGTATATTCACATGCACACACACTGAAATAGGCTATTTTTAGGGCAGTTTTAGGTTCATAGCAAAATTGTGAAGAAAGTATGGAGTCCCTATATAACTCCTGTCCCCACAAACACACAACCTCTCCAACTATCAACAGCCTCTACCAGAGTGGTCCGTTGGTACAGCAGATGAACTACATTGACACATCGTTATTTCCCAAAGTCCATAGTTTACATTAGGGTTCACTCTTGGTGGTGCGCATCCCATGGATTTTCACACACACACACAATGATATGTATCAGCCACTAGAGATCACACAGAATAGTTCCACTGCCCTAAAAATCCTCTGTTTTCCACCTATTCATCCCTCCTCCCCCCAACACCTGGCAACCATAGATCTTTTTACTGTCTGCATAGTTTTGCCTTTTCCACAATGTATTGTGGTTGGAATCAGGCAGTATGTAGCCTTTTCAGACTGGCTCCTTTCACTCGGAAATATGCGTTTACATTTTGGCTAGTGTGAATAGTGCTGCTGCGAACATTTATGCACAAGCTGTTGTTTGAGTCCCTGTTTTCAGTTCTCTCAGGCATATTTTTTAGGAGTGGAATTGAGGACCCACTGGCCTCTTTTGGCCCCCCGATTCTCCCCTTTGTGTTCCTGTCCCTTAGACTCTGGTAGAAGCCGCCGAGGAGGCTGACCTGAACCATGAATTCAACGAGTCTCTGGTGGTGAGTTCTCCCGTTCCCAGAGCTCCCAATGATGGACGGTATCACCTGAGTACAGGACATGGAGAGTAGGGGGAAGGGGAGTCCAGCACTACCTTTTAATGTGTTCAGGATTCCTATGAACCTGCAATAATTTGATTCTGAAATGCTCCAGAGTCTTTTGAGAAGGGATTTATGGACCAGGTAGGCGTGACAGAACCAAACCCTGGGGCTGGGGATGTACAGTGGCAATCCAATCTTCTACAGACATTTATCACCCAATGCAACATGCCAGCCTCTGCCAAGACAAAGTTGAGAAGCTCATAGAAGACATAACTCTAGCATAAGGCCTATGTCCATACAAATATGTCCATACAAATGATTAAGTGTTCCCACAGTGCAGAAGGGAAGAGGAGGAGCTCAGACAGTCTCACAGACTGGGTGGCCCCCAGGCTGGCCCAGGCTGAGGGGGATTTGAGCAGCTGAGGGCATGAAGAAGGGGTTTCTAAGCTGAGAAGAAACAATAAATACACAAGGTTGAGGAAATTGCCAGCAGTCAGCTCTGTATGTCCAGGGGATGGTGAAGCAGAAAGTGGCTGTGGTAAAGGTAGAATTCTGGCCTTTATTCAGCCTGAAAGGCACATTTTGAAGGCTTTGAGCTGGAGAGGGGCAGAGCCAGATTCACTGAGGCAGCACTGTTGTGACATGGGCAGGACAAAGTGGGGGTGGGGGGTGGGGGTGGGGACCGAGGGCGCTCTTCAAGTCTGAACCACGTGGTCTGGAGAACATGGGGAGGAGGGCCTGATTATGACTCAGAGGCGGTAATCCAAGCAGATCCAGCACTGTGTGTAAGAGCAGAGAGCCGACTGCTGGCTCCTCAGGGCACACGGGGACACAGGCCCCTCGCTGTTAAAGAGAGAAGCCTCATTTCTCAGGGCCCCACCACCGGGGTCCTTTGGAGTCTTCCTGCACCGAAGAAGCTGGTGGTGTCGACAAAGCTGCCTCTGTCTCTTTGCCTCTCCTGGAATCTGTCTGCTGTCTCTGTCTCCATCTCTGGCTGTGTCCACACATGATAAACAAAGTGGAGATGTGAGCAATAGTCCAAACAATTTGTATCAAACCCTATCACACCAACCATCTGCTCCAACTATCTGATGTGTATTTGCCCCCAATCCTGTGGGTCATTGCTTGAATCCCCCACAGACAGCGTTTGTGCGGACACTCAGTCCATCTGACGTCTCTCCCATCTGAGTCTTCTGATTGCATCGTTTTCCTCTCTCTTGCCCACTCGGTGGGTCCCTGTGTCTGCACTGTCTCTGTCCGGCCGGCTGTTCCCCTCTGCCCTAGTTTGACTATTACAACTCGGTCCTGATCAACGAGAGGGATGAGAATGGCAAGTACGTGGAGATGGGGGCTGAGTTTGTCCTTGAGTCCAATGCGCACTTCAGCAACCTGATGGTGAACACGTCCCTCAGTAGTGTGCAGCTGCCCACCAACGTGTACAACAGAGGTAGTCCCTCCCTGTGGCCTGGCATGGTTGTGGGGTGGTGCTGGTGGCAGTTAATGATGTGCCCCCATTTTCCTGACAAGCCTTTCAGGGTGTAAACTCATTCTCCAACCTCTCTGACTGAATATGGGGAAATCCTTCTACAGCAGCCTGGGTTGGGAGAGAACTCCGTGCTCCTGGCTGGGAGGGTGTGAGTCTGGCTCTGAGTGAAATGTAGATGGAAGCTATGAACCGCATCACTGCAGGCTGTGTGGGCATGCTTGTGTGCACATGCATGTGTGCACATGCATGTGTGTGTGCATGTGTGCTAGCAGGTGTGTTCAGTAGGTGAAGAATTGGTCACTGTTACTGATTTAGTGTCCCTTGCAATTCCTTCTACAATCTCACCCTTTAGACCCAGATATTTTAAATGGAGTCTACATGTCTGAAGCCCTGAACCCTGTTTTTGTGGAGAACTTCCAGAGAGACCCGACACTGACCTGGCAATATTTTGGCAGCTCAACTGGATTCTTTAGGATCTATCCAGGTAAAGACATGGAAGGCAACTCCAAGATCCTCTGGGCTTTTTCTCTGGGAATAAGGCAATAGGAGCATTGAAGATGAACCCTACACTCAGACCCCTGGTAAATGGAGTTGGCCCCGCTGCCCAAAGGCACCTCCAACCCACATTTTGACACTCTTCACATGTGATATGCACATTTTCAACAAAGAGCTGTTGAATGTGTGAATGAATGAATGAATGAATGAATGAATGAATGAATGAAACACCAAGATAACCAGCCAATATATGCCCACATTGAACTCTTACCTTATGAAAAGCAATTGTGGAAGATGCAAAGGAGGATAAAAACAATTCTTGATCTTAAGAACTTTACATCTTAATTGGAGAAATGGGGTACACTCACTTAACATGTTCAATAGCAATGAGGAGATGTCATGGGTCACAGTGTGATTCATAGCCAACCCAACAGATAAGATGGGAAAGCTCCCTTGTCTACCAATAAAAACAGAAAAAAAAAAAATCTACCACAAAATTTGTGGAAGTTCTCCTTCTTAAAATTCTCATTTAAAATAATTCACCTCCATATTTTACTCCAACCCATTTTTATATTTTAGCACACTGTCCAAAGTCTTGACATTGCCCTGTTTTCCTGAGGCAGAAAATTGGAAGGTCCTAAAAACCCTTCTGTGTGCTCAGACTAGAAAAGCCAGTTCCTCCCTAGGAGTGCAGAGGGACCTTGGAGTTCGTGAGTCCTCTGTTAGCCTGCTCCTTCCTGTTTCTCTGCCCAAACCCACAACTTGCCATTGGTTCTTCTGTTCTCTGGAGGCTCAGTAAACAAGTTTATCCCTCTTCCTTGAAACAGCCCTTCAAATGCTCAAAGAAAACTCGCAGTTCCCTCCAGTCTTCCCCAGGGTAGAATTCCTGTATATAATCTTGCCACATCAGGGTTTCCAGAGAAGTCAATTTGTGTGCAAACAACACAATCCAGGTGTGAGCCATCAGTCTTAGTAGAGAGGGTGTTTCTCACCCACACCCACATTTATAGATACATATCAGCCTCAGGTAGACAATATGGCGTTGGCTATAATCCTTGATCACAGTATGCTGTCCCCATGCTTACATACAGGCCCAACACAAAAACTATATTACCAACAATTTCTATTCACATATGTGCTCCTCTTCTATCTCGCCCTCTCCTCCCTCCCAGTTCGCCCCATCCCAACAGGCTGGGTAATAGCTGTCCTGAATTATGAGCTTATCACTTTATTTGGATTTTTTGGCTGTCTGTTTATTTATTTAGTTTTATCTTATGTTTACACACACACCTGCTTAAACAACATATTGTTTTGTTTTGCTTGTTTTTAAAATTTATAAAACTGATTTCTGATATAGATTTTTAGAACTTGCTTTTTCATTCAATACTATACTACCAAGATTCATTGGGTTGTCACATATGGCTATATATTGTCACTTTTGTTCCTGTATCATATTATTTGGGGTCAATATATCAGTTTATCCATCCTTCTGATCCTATCTTGGTTGTTTCTAGTTTTGTTTTTCTTCTTTGTTTTTTACTTTCATGAACAGTGTTGTTATGAGCAGTCTTACAAGTATTTCTCTTGGGCATATACCCGGGAATGGAATTGTTAGGTCCTAAGACATATGACTGTTCAACGACGACAAGAAAATGCCAAATTGTTCTCCAAAATGCTTGTACCAATTATATTCCCACTAATAATGAGTAAGAGAACCTGTTGATCAACACTTTCTCAAACCCTGGGTATTAGTAAACTTAAAATTTTAAATAATTTTTTAGTATAAAATGATATTTCACTGTGATCTGGCATTGCATTTCTCTGATCACTTGTGAAATTGAGCATCTCTTTATATGCCATTTGTTGTATTGCTTCTGTGAAATTCCTATTATGTATTTTGCCTAATTATCTATTGACTTTTCTGTTAACCCATCTTTGCATTCCTATTGTAAACCTAACTTGATTACTGTATGCTAGTCTTTTATGCATTGTTGGATTTAGTTTGTTCATATTCTGTTTAGAATTATTACATCTATATATTTTTAAGTGAAATGGTCTTATAATTTTTCTTTTTTGTATACCCTCCTTGTCTGTTTTTCAAAATTATATTAGCTTCCTTGAATAAACTGGGAAGTATTCCCTCTTTTTCTGGTTTCTGGGAGTATTTAAGTTAGATTAGAATAAACTTTTCCTTGAAAGCTTGGTCGACTTTATCTATTAAACCATATAGACCTGATGTTTTCTTTATAGGAAGATTTTTAAATTACCACTTCAATTTATTTAATACTTGCAAGATAAATATGGCTTTCTGTTTCTTCTTAATTTGATGAAATGCTTTCTCTAAGAATCCACCTAATTCATATGAGTTTTCAAATCTATGTCCATGAAAATATTATTCTTATTATCTTTTAAATCTCCAGTGTATGTATAATTATGTCCCCCTTTTATTTGTGTTATTATTCATTTTTCTTTATCAATCTACCACTGATTTCACTATTTTGTTAGTCTTTTCCAGGATCATCTTTTGTCTTCCTTGATTGCCCTCTATTATTTGATTTTTATTTTTACCTATTTTAGCTTTAACTTTATCTTTTTTTCTCTTTTATTCTGTTGTTTCTCTTCCCAGCTTACTAAGTTGAACACTTAGTTTTAATTTGTAATCTTTCTTTGATTCTAAAATAAGAGTTCATGGCTCTATCTTGGCCCTAGAAACCCTACTTTTGCTCCATCTCAAAAGTTTTGATTGGTAGTGGGGGTTTTTTATTATTAATTTTAGTAAAATACATATAAAATTTACCATTCTAACCATTTTCAAGTGTATGATTCAGTGGCATTAAGTACATTCATGTTGTTATACAACCATTGCCACCATTCACCTTCAGAGCTCTCCATTTTGCAGAACTGAAACTCTGTACAGATTTAAAAAAATAACTCACCACTCCCTCCTCCCCCAGCCCCTGGCAGCCACCATTCTCCCTTCTATCTCTATTATTTGACTGCTCTAGATACCTCATATAAGTAGAATCCTAGAGTATTTGTTTTTTTATGACTGGTTGATTCAACTTAGTGTAATGTCCTCAAGGTTCATCCATATTGTAGCATGTGTCAGAATCTTCCTCCTTTCTAAAGCTGAAAAATGTTCCATTGTATGGATATATCACATTTTGTTTATTCACTCCTCTAGCAATGGACACTTGAGTTGCTTCCACATTTTAGCTATTGTGAATAATTCTCCTATGAATATGGATGTACAAATATCTCTTTGAGACCCTGCCTTCAGTTATTTTAGGTTTGTACTGAGAAGTGGAATTCCTGGATAACATGGTAATTTCATTTTTCATTTTGGGGGAACTACCCTGCTGTTTTCCATAGTAACTGTGCCAATTTACATTTCCTCCAATAGTGCCCAAGGGTTCCAATTTCTCCACATCATCATAGTTTTCCTTTGTTTTGTTTCTAAGAGTAGCCATCTTACTGTATGTGCGTTGCATTTCATCATGGTTTTGATTTGCATTCCCCTAACAATTAGTGATGTTGAGCACCTTTTCATGTGCTTTTTGGCCATTTGTATATCTTCTTGGGAGAAATGTCTATTCAAGTCCTTTGTTGATTTTTGAATTTGATTGTTTTTCTGTTATTGAGTTGTAGGGGATTTTTTAGATATCATGGATAGTAACCTCTTATCATATATATTTGCATATATTTTCTCCCATTCCATGGGTTTCCTTTTCACTTTGTTGATCATGTCATTTAAAACGCAGAAGTTTATTGCCTGTGTTTTTGGTGTTATGGTACTATTTTAATGATCACTTGCTTCTAAATATTTTTAAAATTTCCTGTGATTTCATCTTTGATCTTTTGGTTATTTAAAAATGTGTTTTAAAGTATTTGAATATATAAGGACTATATATTTATGTTTTTATTATAAATTTCTAATTGAATTGCTTTGTAGACAGAGATTATGGTATATGTGGTACTGATTACATGAAATTAGTTAAGATTTAGTTTAACAGCCTAGTATGTCATTAAGTTTTATAAATATTCTATGTGTATTTAAAAAGAATGTGTGTGCTCTAATTGTGGTATAAAAAACTACATATGTGATTAGTTAAGTTTGTTAATTATACTGTTTAAATCTTCTGTATCTTTGCTGATTTTATGTCTGCTTGACCCTTGATAGCTCTTAAAACACTTTGTATTTTAAGGCTATTTTGTCTGATATTCATAAGAAATGCCAATAAGCTCTTGATTATCCTGATATATATTTTTCCGTCATTTATCTTCGAATCTTCTAAATCATTTTGTTTTAGTCATATTTTTTGAAAATAGCTTATAGCTTTTAAATTTTTATCCAAACTTACAATCTCTTTACTAGTTGACAAGTTCAGCACATTTATATTTGTTATATTGATATATTTAAACGCCTATCTTATTCTTAAAATTTCTATTTGTCCCTCTATTTTTGTTTCTTTTTTCTCCTTTTTTATCTTTTTTCATGATTAAACTTTTTTTTGATAAATCTCCTGTTATTTCTCTCTTTTTCATTGTATCAGTTTAGAACTTACTCTTCTGTTTTTATTCTTTTAGTAATTATCCCTTATCAAGCATATTTAACAAGGTATCAAAATTAAGTAATATTTTTACCCTTTTTCCAATCATAAAAGAACTTAGAAGTCTTCCACTTGCATCTCCTTCTTCCACACTGATTTCCACCCTATTGTCATCTAATATTTCCCTTTGTATCCCTACAAATTAGATACTGTTACTGCTATTTGATGCAAACATTGCTTGTTTTGTATTAATCACTTGTTTACCATTTTATTTGCCCACAACTTCTTCGAGCTCTGCCAGCTGTTTTTCCAAGATCATACTCCTTCTTCTTGAGGTGAATCTCTAGAAGTTCCTTTACTGTAGTGCTCTCAGTGTTAAGTTGCTTCAGCTTGTGTTATCTACAAATGTTTTATATTATCCTCATCTTTTTTCAAAATTTTGAGTGTATTCGTTTTTATTTTTGCAAGTTACTCAAATCATTTCCTGCTGTCATCCTATTTAAGCAGAAAAGACCAAATCCTATTTCTTTTTTATGGAGACAAGTGACTGACTAAGCTTCCATTTAATGACACACCCCAGAGAAATGGTTTACAGTAAATAACAGCTCAGGGAAACTAACATCCTAAGGGGAATTCAGAAAACAACGCTGTAGTCTTCTATCCTCATTCTTGAGTGATAGTTTTGCTGGAAATGATTTTCTAAATTAACTTTTTTTTTTCTCTCAAGACCTTAAAACTTTGTTTTACTGCCTTCTGGCTTCCACTGATGTTGAGAAAATCTGCTATTCGTTTAACTGCTGTCCTTTGAAAGTAAATGTTCTAGGTTTTCTGGCTGCTTTCAAGGTCTTTATTTATTTATTTGCCTTTGGAGTTCTGCAGCTTCACTACTGTGTGTCTACAAGTGGGTATCTTTTTATTTATCCTGTTGGGATATACTGTGCTTCCTGGGTCTGTGGGTTCACATTTTTATCAGTTATAGAACATTTGCCATCCCTGTCTTTGTAACCATGGTGTTTTCTTGAGCTCTCTCTTTTTTATTCCTATGTCTCCAGTCAGACATATGTTAGACCTTTTTACTTTAGCTTTCACAGGATTCTGGACAAATTCTTTAAATGCCTGAATTTTTTTCTTTACCTTTGAATAATCCACTATGCATTTATTTAACATATTTTCTTTTCATTTACAAAAATTCTATATTTAAAAGGCTGTTTATTTTTTTCTAATCATTTCTTCTTGTATATTTTTTTCCTTGTGACTTATCCAGCATAGCTATCCTATATTTTATTTGGTAGTTCCAACACCTGTAATCCTTAGAAGGATGCTTGTGGTGGTTTTCGTTGCTGCTGCTTCTCACTCATAGGGGCCTGTTTCCAGTGTACTGGTAATCTTTGCTTCTGAGGCCATGCTGCTTGTAATCTGTGGGAATCCCACAGGCTTGACCTGGGAAAGCTCCACCTCAGAAACTTCTCAGAAACTTCTGTTTCTTCTTGGAGTTGAGAGTACCTCCACCCAGGACCACCAAAACCCTCTTCCAAGGTTCTGGCTCAGAACCCAGAACCTCAGACTCACTTTCTGCTCCTTGCTATTGTTAACAAGCGTCAAATTCCCCACAATCATGCTGCCATGGGAATGTGGCCTTAGGAAACCCTACTGCTCACCAGCTGCTGCAGATTGATGAAAGAGCCATGCTGCTGAGGCTCCCACCACACAGCTCTGCCTGTGGCTCTGTCCTGCTTCCCCTGCCAGGCTGAGGCTCCTCACTGTTCTGACCCCTGTCCCTCCTCCTTGGAACTCTGCTCCCATTTGTTTGGTTTTGGAAGTACAATCTGATCCTGGAAAATTTCTCCTCCCTTTGACACGCCAGCAATGCCTCAAAGTGTACTCTTGTCTGAAGTCTAACTGCTGTGGAATAAGAAGATCCCTTAGAGCTTCTAGACATTCATGATATGGCCAGAGTTGTTTCTTTTTCTAGCTCAAACATGGCATAATACAATTGCACCTGTTGTTTTAAATCTCTTACTGTGAACTCACTCTTCCCAATCACTAAAGTATTTTCAAAAAGGGACATTCTCATGGAGCATGGCAGTGTTACTTGCACTTTGTGTGCATTTATCCCAACTTTTGATTAGATGAATAGGACAAAACCTGTCCCAGCACTCTGCTAGTGGGTCAAGGCATAATCTCTCATACTCATTTATTTGTTGTTTCATTCATATGACAAATATTTATTGAGCATCAAGACTCCTCGGTGCTACGTCAGACACCATGCCAGGTATAGGCAGGCCTTGGAGATATTGCGGGTTCAGTCCCAGACCACTGCAATAAAATGAGTCTCTCAATAGAGCTCGTCCTGATCTTTTTGCCAATGAAAGGGCCTTGTCTTCAATTTGTGAAAAATGCAGCATCTTTGACATGCCATAAAGCAAAGGCAATAAAATAAGGTGTGCCTGTACTTGGAATCTCTGACCTCAAGGAGCTTATGGTCTTGCAGCCGATAATCATTTCTCCCAGCCAGCTAACAGGAAGTATTGTGAACACTAACAGGCAACCTGATTGGAGGCAGGTGGGCTAGGAGTCAGAGCTTCTGGCTCTCTCAACGCTCTGTCCATGCCTTTGCCAGATGGTAATGGTTTTTTAAGGTCATGCCTTCCCAAAGCTTCCCCTTCCACAATTGGATGTGAAGCTTAATTCACAAATGAATCTTAAGGCACGACATACAGGGGTCGTACTGTGAAGGTCACTCCAACTCTGAATCTGAGCAGTGTGGGTGGTCCATGGCTGGCCTTCCCTGGGGGTCATGGCATTCCAGGGGCTCTGGAGCAGACTCACTGAGCCAGTGAAAGAATCAGCCTTTGTTTCCCCAGGCATCAAATGGACACCTGATGAGAATGGAGTCGTCACCTTTGACTGCCGGAACCGCGGCTGGTAAGAGCCCCCGGGGGGGAGGTCTCTGGCGCCGGCATCCATATTGTACAGTTTGAGTCTTGCCAAGTTCTCCTCCAGTCTCTGCCCTCCAGTCCAAGGGTCTCAGGTGTGTACAACCTTAACTTTAGAGTAGGAAGAAGGTGTCTTCCTTCCTTCTCGCCATGGCTGTTCTTGCTGCCCACACAATCACATTTGTCTTTCCCGCCCCTCATCTCCCTCCAGAACACTGAGCTGTCTCCAAATATACCCTCTGCCAGGCTCTCCTCTCCTTCCACAACCCTCCTTGGGCAGATTTGTAACAGAATCTGAGGGCGGAATCCAGTTCTCTCCCTTCTTGATGTCTGTCCCTCCAGGATCCTGGCTGGTCCAAAACAAGGAGGACAAGGATACCAGCAGAACATGATCTTTCTCTCACCTGACAGGCCCATTAGATGGGCACATGCCCAACTATTGCTCGCAAATGATTTCAGAACTATGCTAAGTGGTTATGGAACATGATACAAACCTGGCATCAATGGGGCACCTGCCTAAACTGAATACAAACAGAAATAATGAGACTAGGTTGCGTTCATGCTCTGGCTCTGATCTTCCCCTTGTGGACCTGTCCCTTTCTGCTAAAGGTACATACAAGCTGCTACTTCTCCCAAGGACGTAGTGATTGTGGTGGACACAAGTGGCAGCATGAAGGGCCTACGGATGACAATCGCCAAGCACACCATCTCCACCATATTGGACACGCTGGGAGAAAATGACTTTGTTAATATCATTGCGGTAAGTGTGTCTGTCTTCCTACTCTAGAATGGCTCACTCTTGTTCTAGTAAAACTTCTTGCTGCCTGCACTGGAATGATCTGTACCTACAAACACATGATGCTTCGTGCTGTAGAATAATTCCTCTGAAACGGGGCCTCCTGGCCTAGGGTCAGACCAGGCATGGACTGCAAGAGGTCCATAGAGTTTCTGAAATTATGTGTGTGTCTATTTTTCTGAGTCCATAGAGTTCATTAATTCAGGTAAATCTGGGGTGTAACAAAGTTTAAGAAGCGCTGGCCTTGAGCAAACACCTAATTTATCCCATCCATGTGCCCGTGACCTGTGCCCATCGCTCAACAGCCTCTGCGTTCTGCTGTAGGATGAGTGATCCATGGGCTCCTGCTTTGCGACAATCCCGGTTTTCCCACTCCCTTCATCCCAAGTCCAGACACATTAAGGGAAAGGAGAAAGTAGACAGCGCACCTAGACAAGACCAACAAATCCTGGTCCTGCTTTCACAGCAACTCTTCCTAGCTCTGCCTGCCCCCAGAGAGGTAATGTTTGGGAGAGAGAGAGCAGGAAGAAAAGGGGACAAGTCAGGAGAATGCTTTCGAGTGCAATGAGAGAATGGGGGGCCAGTGCAGAGGCAGCCCTCCACAGAGGCAGAGCTGAGGGCCACCTGGGGTACCATTGTGAAGGGTACCTGATCCAACACTTCTTCCACCAGCCTGCCACGTGGCTGAAAATGATTCTCTTTAGTGGGGTTTACTTATCTTATAAAGAAATACCAAGGCAAAGTGGTCTAACTTCAAAATGACCACCTTGGGAAGATGAGAATGGCCCCCTCATCCCTGGGCTGGTCCTGGAGGCCTGCAGCACTTAACGATCCACACCACTCCTGGACTCTGCAGGCCCCATCTCCACCACCAACCCATCCTTGTTCCTGAACTGCAGCAGAGAAAGGACAGCTATGGGCCCAGGTCCTACTACTACACAAGAGTGGGGGTGTGCTCCTGATCCTCCCTCCCAGGCTGTTGGTAGCTAAAGGACTCTCTCCATAAATGCAACAAAGAGAAAAATGAGTCCAGTTTCTAATCCCTGCACCCAGGCACTGGGGAGAGGTCTGCACTTGGTAGGCTCTGGGAGCCCCATGAAAGGCACTCCATGTGGTCTTGGTGGCAGAAACCAGAGGAATTCCCTCAGTAACCTGCAGTTCTCTGTGTGCCCTAGAAGACAGGCATGACGCAGCCACCTGAGAAAATAAACCAAGACCAGAACTTCAGGGAGAATTTTTAGAGTGAAGGCCCTGCTGTTCTCTGTACTCCCACCACTGTACTCAGAAAAATTGTCAGTAGCATAGGGCACCACAAGATAATATACACAGATGCCTAGGTGTCCCCAGCTCTGATCACCCCATAAGTTGCCTGAGCTTCATCGCTGGGCCCTGACTTTCCAAATGGACCCTGTCTGTTCTCCCCTCCCCTCTGCCCTCTGCAACTGCAGTATAATGACTACATCCATTACATCGAGCCTTGTTTCAAAGGGATCCTTGTTCAAGCCGATCGAGACAACCGTGAGGTAAGTATCCATGTCAGGTGAAAGCCTGATGCTTTGGAGCCCCTGTTTTGCTTAGAATGGTGGGAATCATCTGTGCAGCTGCCTGAAAGCCTCTTTTCCTCATTCCCATGGCACTTCGAAAGGGGCAAAGCCCATCTGCAGTTACCCACACAAACAAACTCAGGTAATTGCCCCCATGATTACGCTGCCCGTCTATCTCAGCAAATAGTGGGCAAAGAGACATCTCCCATCTGAGGAAAATGTCACTTCTCCAGAACTTGTTTGTTACTCTGTGGATTAGCCAGCACTTGGTTTTTCCCTTTGCCTCTCCCTGGATCCTTTCACTAGGACAGCGTTCATAAGGAGCTTCCTCAGAAGGAGGAGAAATCCAAACCTACTCTGTTGAGTCCTTTCCAAAGGCCAAGGGAGAGATCCTTCCCTCTGTCTGGGGAACTGGGGTGTGGTTTCCTCTGAATCCTGGCTTTAAGTTGGAGCCCCTGGCCATCTCCATGCCGTTGGAGGAAGAGCTGGGATGCTGAGGCTACTGGAGACCTGGGAGCGTGGGCATTGGCCTGGACTGGCCTCCTGGCTCCGGTTGAATTCACACTGGCGTTTCCTTCCAGTAGTGGGGATTGGGGATAGATTTGTGCCCAGCCACTGACACTTCCAGTTTATCTTGGGATCATTTGAAAAGTATCTGTTGTGGCGGTCCAGCCGTAAAATCAGCTGGAGGGATAGGTTCCATGATCATGTCCTTCAGGGCAAATAGCTCTAAACAGCTTCTGAAATTAAGTCCCTGGCCCACTCGATCCATTGACATGCCTCTGGTTTCTTACTCACAATAGCATTTCAAACAGCTGGTGGATGAGCTGATGGTTAAAGGGGTGGGAGTTGTGGACCAAGCCCTGAGGGAAGCCTTCCAGATCCTGAAGCAGGTACTGCTCCTGAGGAAGCCAAGGGAGAGTGGAAGGGTGGGGGACAGCCTGGCAGCATGGGGAGGGCAGTTTTTAGTTTATAGTTATGGAGCCACCCCTTCCCTGCACAGTTCCAAGAGGCCCGGCAAGGAAGCCTCTGTAACCAGGCCATCATGCTGATCTCCGACGGGGCTGTGGAGGACTACGAGCCTGTGTTTGAGGAGTACAACTGGCCGGACCGCAAGGTTACTCTCCCAGTGGCAGGCAAGGGGCAAAGGGGGACAGGACATGGGGAGCATTCTCCTACTGCCATGATGGGGTGGCCCAGAACTATAGCCAATTACTAGCGCATTAGTAAATTCAAATGTCCCAGATTGGTGTTCCAAAATTATGGTGACTCTAGGCACAGAGGGCTCATGCGAGAAGGCTCAGGTCGAGAGACCAGAGTATGATGGTGAGACAGGAAAACTACCCTGGTCAGTCCCAGTGTGGTCTGGGCCCCAGGGTCCTTTCTGATCCAAAGGAGTGGAAATGGAGGAACCAAAGTGGGCAAAGTGCTTGGCAGACATCAAAGACTCAGATAAATTATGTTAACATGACTCACCACTGGGAGTTATGGCTGCTGAGTCTGTTTATGTCTTGTGGAATAGGTTCGAGTTTTCACTTACCTTATTGGGAGAGAAGTCAGTTTTGCAGACCGCATGAAGTGGATTGCGTGCAACAACAAAGGTAGGTGGCAGAGCACCTTGCAGCCTGTCCCTGAAAACAGACCCTGGAACAGAGTTGCATGCAGGAGGGGATACCCCTGCAAGGAAGGAAGGGGAGCAGCACTGTGAAAGGCGGAGGCTGACCCAAAGGCCCTTGCAGTTGAGGCCCTGCAGCTTCTGTGGCAGCTCTGAAGCTGGGAAGGCCCCTCACAGTTCTCCCAAGTTGAGGCAGAGGCTGGGCCTTTGCATCCCCATCAGCACCATTGGCCTCCAGCTATGCCCTGGAAAAGGGACAACCTTGGAGAAAGCAGTTCCCCGTGGCCCCAGGCAGCTCCCAGTGCCCCAGCCACAAGCTGTCAGCACCTGGGCAGAGTATCAGCCCTGCAGAGGAGTTCCACGTGGAGCACCCAGAACCACAGGGCCTGTCCCCTCCTCCAGGCTACTACACACAGATCTCCACGCTGGCTGATGTCCAGGAGAATGTGATGGAGTACCAGCACGTACTCAGCCGCCCCATGGTCATCAACCATGACCATGACATCATCTGGACTGAAGCCTACATGGACAGCAAGGTGAGGCCTCCACCCCACTCCAGAGTTAGGGATGCCAGGGCATAAGAGGTGACTTGCTGTGTGAGGAATGGGGAGAGCAACGGCATCCTTGGGGTTGGAAGAAAGGGAGCGAGCACTGCCACCCACCAGCCGACCCACCACCTGAGTGCTGTCCTGGAGGCCCAGAAACCCTGTGAGGAGACCTGTCCAGGGTGGCCCTTTCAGGACAGAGTCCCTCTGCTCCAAACTTGTTCCACCCTCCTTCCTATGCTTCCCACCTCCTTCATCGCCCTCTCTCCCCACTGTTATTTAAAAGAAAAAAAGGGGGAAAAAGGAATGCAACCAGTAATTCAAGATTCTGTAGCTTCGTCAAGTGACCCCTTCCCCGCCCCTGTCTGTAGGCAGCAATGTCTTACACAAAGAAAGAGATAGCAAAGGTAGAATTCAGATGAGGTGTTGGGGGACCAGGGACATTCTGAAGACACCTGCTTCAATGATGATGCATCAGACTGGGATTAAGAGAGACCTGGAAGTAGTGGCTTTAAAAAAAAAAAAAAAGTGAATTCTCCCTCATGTAAGACAGATGGCCAGCCCAGAGCCAATGAGGAGCTCCCTGGTCACTAGGGACCCAGACCCTTTCCTCCTGTCCTCTTGGCCATCCCTATGAACCTCTGGTTCCAAGGGGATAGTGGAACTCTAGTCAACAGAAGCCACTCACTCTTAGAAAACCTTACTTCCAAACTCTAAACTGAAAAATCTGATGAGGTAGAGGGAGAGGACCTGATGGTTAAAAGTTCTTCATTTTCCAAGGTCTACTGTAGACTTCCATGGCTGGGCAACCTCCTTTAGTTGATCCTGAGGAAAGTCAGACTTATCAGACACTATCTCCTCAGGGTCTATCTTCATGGTAAAGTTGAACACTCGTGTGGAGCCTCTTCAAAGGGGACCGGAGGAGCCAGCACAGTGAGATGAGGAGTCAGGAAGAGAGCCATCTCAGAGTCTGGGAGTTATGTAGCTCAGGCGTTCTGAGTGGGGAAGAGATGGCAGGCTCTTCGTGTGTGTGTGTGTGTGTGTGTGTGTGTGTGTGTGTGTGTGTGTGTGTGTGTGTGTAGGGGAAGATGGTAACCGGAGGCTACTACAACCACGCCATGGCCTGCTCTCGAACTGTGGCCGCTCACCATGTGCTTGCATTTGCCAGTGGCTCTGCATCAATGTCCCTTTCCCTCCTAACTGGTTTGGGCTGTCATTCGTGCCAGCCTTGGGTCTATAGCAGAGATGTTTGGAAGGGATCTTGCTATGCTAACCTCTTTGTTTCTGGGCATCCCCAGGATGGGCCTATTCCATGGGTTCATGCTAATCTGAGACAAGAAGGCTTAGTGAGTGTGCTTGGGAGCTGGGCTGTGGGCTCCAGGATTTGGAGGCTTGCCCTGCCTCAGAACCTTCCTTGCTAAGTGACATTGGCCTGGTCTGTCTCCCTAGCTCACCTCTCTCCGCTAGCCTTTCTGTCAGCTCTCCCTTTGCAGAGAAGGGGAAACTCATTTGGGATTGCTTCCTCCCATTGGAAGGTAACACAGTAGTTTATGTTGGTGACCATGGGTCCTCTGCACTGTGGACTCTGAGCCCTCTGTCCCTTGTTCTTTCCTCCCTGGTAGCTCTTCACCTCACAGACGCAGACCCTGATGCTCCTCACCACAGTGGCCATGCCAGTCTTCAGCAAGAAGAATGAAACGGTGAGTGGCTGCTCCCGAGAAGCTGCAGCAAGGACTAGAACTTGGACCCCACTGGCATTTTTAGACCCGTGGTTCTTGGCTTGGCCGGGCATCAGAGCCACCTTGGGAGAGGAGGGGTGCGGAATGAGGGCTGGGGTTTGGTCTAGACTTCCCCAGACTCCCCAGTGATTCTGCTCAGCCAGCTTGGGGATCACTCCCTTGGGGGTACAGGACTAACGGGGTTGCCTGTCAGCCTTCTGCAAAACCACACACACTTAACTTACCGGATTGGGCAGGCTGTAACTTGTTTGTTTGTAAAGGCCTCTGGTAAGGAAATTTCTAGAGCCTTCCATCCTCCCTCTGGTCAGGAAATGTTTCTTTATAAGCACTGTTGTTTCAGACCATAGGTGAGGGTCCCTGGAATCCCAGCCCTTCAGTTTCTGCTATGAAAGTGAATATTTCATTCAACTTCGTATTTCATTTAAACAGTACAACTTAAATATTAATGTTGGACATTAATCTTCCCAGCAGTTGAGATTACTCCTGGGGCCTCCCTGCTAGGTTCTTGATTTTATTCCAGCAAGCTCAGCCTAAAATCTAACCACAGAGGAAGGGCCACATACGACCTAAGGGGCTTCCTTTTCCAGGCTCTAGGAAGGCTGAGGTCCAGCCTGGCCCTGGGTTCAGGGAAGCCAGATCTCCCCCTACCCTGTTTGTCTTTCCAGCGGTCCCACGGCATTCTCCTAGGGGTGGTGGGCTCTGACGTGGCCCTGAAAGAGTTGATGAAGCTGGCACCCCGGTACAAGGTAAGCCTGGGTCATGTCCCTGAGTAGGGGTTGCAGGCTCCCTAGAGGCTGCCCCTCCAGGCTCAGGAGCCTCTCTGCAGACAGCACAGCCAAGCCCAGAGCTAGGATGGGCCCTTGCCACCCTGCCCCCACAGAAGTATAGGCATTGAGCTTGGGAGCAGTGGCTCAAACACCCGGGGCCCTTTGTTACTACCAGATCAGACTTGCTCTGTGGCCTGTAGCAAGTGCTTTCTCTTTTTGGTGCCTCAGTTTTGCAATCTCCTCCTCCAGGCCATATAATTCTGTTTTGGGGAAGGAGTGATATTATCATCAAGGCACCTAGAGCATATGGGAAAGAGGCCAGATAATGATACCCATGATTATGGCTGCTGTAAACAGTAGAATTAGGAAAGGAATTCAAAATGAATGGCTGGAAGTGCAGCACTGGCTCAGTTATTTGCTATCTGAAAATCTCACTGCTGTGCACTGCCATCTTTAGCCATTCTGTAGCCCCAACCCTTTCTCAACTGCAGTTCTCCAACACAAAAAACAACTCTGATGTCCCTCGACCCCTGTCTTTGTAGCTCGGAGTGCATGGATATGCCTTTTTGAACACTAACAATGGCTACATCCTCTCACATCCTGACCTGCGTCCCCTGGTAGGTACAGATTTTTGTCTTAGGATATAAGCCTATGGGATTTGGGATACTTCATAAAAACAGTTAAAACAATGAACACATGCTGAGTTCCATTAGGAACCCAGTGGGTAATATAAGAAAAAAATTAAGTCATGGTCCTGTTCTCAAACTGTTTATTACCTAGCAGAAGAGATGAGGCAAAAATACATGAACTAATTGATGAAGAACCCAGAGAGCATGGGATGATGTGTGCAGTTTTCCCTGCAGGACACAGCCACTCATGTTCCCATCTCTGCCTCGGTAGCTCCACACTCCCTCTTGGAGTCTGACAGTGGTATCAACAGATCCAAAGAAGTGTGAATGTTGATTTAACAATAAAAAATGTCAGAGGAGCTGTCTTGAGAGAGTTGGGGAGCAGAAGAGCCAAGGCTCCCCTGAGTGTGTCTTGGGATGTGTTCCCCAGTGCTCCTGCCTCCTTCCTAGCTCCCTCCATCCCGACACAGGGACTGGGGGCATTTTCACATGTGTTCAGCCAAACAACAGATGGCCAACAGCAGAATTCCCATCATTTTATCTAAAAGTTCTTCCTCCAGGGCTAGGGGCTCCCTACTGCTCTTCTTCTGGTTATGGCACTTGGCTGCTGTCCTTGGCAATAATGGCCTCACCTCTCAGTGTGATTGTTGGGAGCATTAGGGGGAGGGGAATTAGAGTCCTAGAGGAATATTAACCCTTTGTCCTCCACCAGTCTTATACTGAATTGGAGTGGCAGCTGAGGACCATAACTAGCAGAGCACCTTTCTGAGAACTTACTAAGGGGCTTATCTGCCTCAGGTGCCATTTGGAGAAATCAGTCTAAGCTACATTCCATTCCATTTGGTTCAGATGATTACTGAGTGTCCATAAAGCAACTACTTGAGCTATTTAAGGCAAACTATAGAGGTTCAGAATAGAGAGATCAGGACACACTAGAAACTACTCTGTCTTCCCCATTCAGACTATGCTGGTAAAGCATATGAACACATGTTGGGTCACTGACCTATACCAGTGGGTTCTGTAAGGGGCAGCTCCAGCAACAACAAATAACTCACTAGAGAAATAATAAATTTGTTTATCTTAAAGCTAACTTGTAGAATGAAGGAGCATTGGTGAGAAATTCATCTATTACTACCTATGTAACCTAGACAAATATAGGACTTAACCTTATAGTACTGTAAACAGAAGTTTATAATCTAATTAAGGGAACAAACCATACACAAATAGACTTGGACAAATGAAACAATTAGAGAATAACATCAGGTAGAACATTATCCCATAACAAAAGATATGGTAAAGCTAACTACATGAGATCCCTAAGAAAGTACTATTGATTTATGATAAGTATTAAAGAGAACAATAGTTGAGTTTAAAAAACAATTAAGGGTATGCTTAGTGACAAATTGAAAGAGGATCAAGAACCACTTTTGGCCTGGAAACTTTCTATGTCAGTTAACTAGTATGACTACTTAACGAAGTGGAATTCTGGTTCTAATATGAAGAGCGAAAGATGCTCTTTCAGGTATCATCAGGAATTAGGAAATGGCAATGAATGAAGAATTTTGCAGCTTACTCAAAAGAAGCAGATCCAGTGTCAAAGATGGCAAGACAGTGCTGTTTGTCATAAGTATAGACATCCATAAGGCCAAGAACAGAACATTATCCATGAGTGGCTGAGGAGGAAAAGAGGAGAGTAAAAGGGAGATACTGTTGTGGTGGTTTTACTATAGATCTATCTCCTGCACAGGCAAGGAGCAAGGATAAGGCTTTCTGGAAAAAAGAAAAACTGGTAGAAACAAGATGCCCATTGATAGGAGACTTTGACCATTGAAGCATCTGCAGAGGGGCCTCATTCTGCTAAAAGTAAACCTTCTTATTAATTCTTAACTTACCCTAATGAGAAACAATTTTCTTCCTTTTTGGTTTAAATCATTCTTATTTTTCAGTTACAGTTGACATACAATATTATATTAGTTTCAGGTGTACACCTTAGTGATTAGACATTCTATAACTTACTGAGTGATCATCCCAAAAAATCTAGTGCCCACTTGACACCATTTATAATCATTAGAATATTATTACTATATTCTCTAAGCTGTACTTTACATTCCCATGACTATGCTGTAACAACCAATGTGTACTTCTTAATCCTTTCACCTTTTTCACCTGCCTCCCAACTACCATCCCATTTGGGAAGTGCCAACATGTTCTCTGTATCTATGAGTCTGTTTCTGTTCTGCTTTTTAATTTATTTTTTATTCATTTCTTGAAAGATATGTATTTATTGCCATTTTATTAGCTATATTTTTTGTTTTTTCCCCATTCCCCTTAAAGGAGACCTTTTAACATTTCATGTGATGCTGGTTTGGTGATGAACTCCTTTGGATTTTTCTTGTCTTGGAAGCTCTTCCTATGTCCTTCAATTCTTTTTATAAAATATATACTTGATTGATTATGTTATTTCAGTTGTCCCATTTTTTTCTCCTCTTTATTCCCCTCCACCTTACACAGCCTCACCCGCCCCCCAGCATTCCCACCTCCCCTGTTTAGTTCATGTCCATGGGTCATACATGTAAGTTCTTTGGCTTCTCCATTTCCTATACTATTCTTAACCTCCCTCTGTCTATTTTGTACCTATTTATGCTGCTTGTTCCCTGTACCTTTTCCCCCATTCTTCCCCCTTTCCCTCCCCTCTGTTTTACTGTTCATAGTTTTTGATCTTCTTTTTCTTAGATAAGTCCCTTTAACATTTCATATAATATGAGCTGGGTGATGATGAACTCCTTTAACTTTACCTTATCTGGGAAGCACTTTATCTGCACTTTCATCCTCAGTGATAGCTTTGCTAGACAGAGGAACCTTGGATGTAAGTCCTTGACTTTCATGACTTTGAATACTTCTTTCCAGCCCCTTCTTGCCTGCAAGGTTTCTTTTGAGAAATCATGTGATAGTTTTATGGGAACTCCTTTGTAGGTAACTGTCTCCTTTTCTCTTGCTGCTTTTAAGATTCTCTCCTTGTCTTTACTCTTGGGTAACTTAATTATGATGTGCCTTGGTGTTTTCTTCCTTGGGTCCAACTTCTTTGGGACTCTCTGAGCTTCCTGGATCTCCTGGAAGTCTATTTCCTTGGCCAGATTGGGGACGTTCTCCATTATTTTTTCAAATAAGTTATCTATTTCTTGCTTTTCCCCTTATCCTTCTGGAACTCGTATGATTCAGATGTTGGATCATTTAAAGTTGTCCCGGAGATTCCTAAGCCTCTCCTAATTTTTTGAATTCTTGTTTCTTCATTCTGTTCGGGTTGAATGGTTATCTCTTCCTTCTGCTACAAATTGTTAATTTGAGTCCCAGTTTCCTTCCCTTTACTGTTGGTTCCCTGTAAATTTTTCTTTATTTCACTTTGCATAGCCTTCATTTTTTCCTCCATTTTGCAACCACAGTCAACCAATTCAGTGAGCATCCTGAGTACCAGGGTTTTGAACTGTGCACCTGATAAGTTGGCTATCTGTTCATTGCTTAGTTCTATTTTTGGAGCTTTGATCTATTCTTTCATTTGGGCCATATTTCTTTGTTTCAGAATGTCTGTTATGTAGGAAGGGGTGGAGCCTTAGTTATTCATCAGGGCAGGGCAACACAGGTTGTTGAGTTGTGATGCTCTCTGTAGGGGAGGGGTCCGAGAGGGAACAATGTTGCTTGCTCAGCTCTCAGCCAGCTTTCAGTGACTTCCCCTGCTACCCACAACCAAATTGGACCCTTCTAATGTTGATTCACAGGTGGGTGGGTTTGTGTATATTCTAGGACCTGTGAGTCTCTCCAAGGAACTCTCTTGTGAGGCTGGGAATTTCTCCTGCGGCTGCAACCCCCACAGGTTTTACCTCCAGAGGTTTTGAGGCTTTCTTTTCCCACACTGGAACCCTGGATTGTGTGGTCTGTCTTGCTCCCCAGCTGTTCCTTCAGTTTATCTGCACACAAATGTGGGACCATCCTATCTACCAGCCTCTGCCTCAGCCACCCGGTCCTCCAGCTGCCACCTTGCCATGTGTCCTCTCTGCCCCACGTGCCCATCTCTGCTCCTCCTGCCAGTCTGGGTGAATGTTTCTTCTTTAACTCCTTGGTTGTCAGACTTCCATACAGTTCGATTTTCTGGCAGTTTTGGTTATTTTTTGTTTTTAAATTTGTTGTTGTCCTTCTTTTGGTTGTGCAAAGAGGCAGAGTGTATCTACCTATGCCTCCATCTTGGTCCAAAGTCTTGTCCTTCAATTCTAAATGATAGCTTTTCTGGGTAGAATAATCTTGGTTGTAGGTCCCTGCTTGTCATTCCTTTTAATATTTCTTGCCGATTTCTTCTAGCCTGCAAAGTTTCTGTTGAGAAATCAGCTGAAAATCTTATGGGGGCTCCCTTGTAGATAGCTAACTTTGAGAGATTTTAGTAAAGTCTGAAGCATGAGACAAAACAGGCCATTCGTATGGAAAAACCACTGGAAATAGCTTGGGTAGGCCTAAAAGTTTGGTGGGGTGGGGTCTCAGGGAATCACCAGGGTGGGCAAGCAATATTAGCTAGGTTGATGGAGACTCAGATATGGTACATGCAGACTCTGTTGGGGAAGAGCTCACAAAAAAACAAAACAAAACAAACAAACATGGCCTCTGCCAATACTTCCGTCTGGGAGAAAGCTGTCCCTCCAGCTCTCGTCCTGATGCTAGATGCTTCAGCTCCTCCCTGTATGACCCTGACATGCCTTTTGAGCTGCTATTCCAGTAGTGAAGCTCAGAGGAAGGGAGTCAGAGTAAGTCTGCGTGCACGCCCTTTAAGAGGAACTGCCTGGGACTCCAGAAGCACTCTGTCTCACTCAGCCTCAATTCCTGAAGGCTTTTACAGCCAGAAGTTATGGGAACTTCTCTTCCAGAACTGGAACCCTGAACTTTGGGGCCTGGTGTGGGGCTGGGACCCCTCACTCATCAGGGAGTACTTCTCCAGCCAGATACCCCTCTCAATTTTTATCTGCCAGATGTGACTGTGTGACCAGGCCATTCTGCATCTCTATTCCTCCTACCAATCTCAATATAGCTTCTTATTTAAATCCCTAGTCATAGGATTTCTATTCAGCTAGGTTTCAGGTGATTCTGAATGACGGTTGTTCTGTAGTTTAGTTGTAATTTTGATGTGGTTGTGGGGGGATGTGAGTACATCATTCACCTATGCCACCATCTTAACCAAAGTCTATTGTCTTTCTGTATTTTATCTATTACTAAACCAAACCTGGGAAGTGGTATAGACCTAATAACAGATAAATTCTTGGGTAGGGGAGAGAGAGAAAAGAAGAAGAGGAGAAGGAAGAAGAAGAAAAATGATGATGAAGATGAAGAGGTGGAGGAAGAGAAGAAGAAGGGGAGAGAAATCATGGCCAGAAAATAATAACACTCAAAAAGTCTGTTGATTAATGGCTCTACATCAAGCTGTAAAGAGCTCTTTATTAGGCACTGCAGAATCTGTCTGTCCTTGGCTCCATTCCATTCTCAAAATCTATCAACAAGATGAAAACACAGAAGGCAGATGCCACAAAGTCTGGAAGGCATGGCTAATACATTAAGCAAAAAATATAGTATTCAGAAAGTATTTTTCTAAAACAATGGGCTAAAGCTAGCAAAATGAAGTATATTAGGGATGCAGGGAAATTCCTGCAAAATACTCAGTGCTCAAGCATAATTTTGTAAAGATGTAATTTAACAGTGGGTCCCATGAGGAAGGCCGAGGAGATTTAATGGAATGAAAACTCTATTGGTGCTGTCAGGGCAGGGTAGCTGTCCTGGAAGTCCTGCAGAATCAGAGGCAGCAGTCGGAGCAGTGAGATATTTGGTCCACACACCACACTGGTCAGACTCCATCTGAAATATTGACTTTTGTCCGAGCACTCCATTTTGAGAGTGACACTGACAAAGCAGAGCATACTCAGAGGGAGTTGAGGCATCTGCAAATTAGGAATATTTAGCCTGGAGAAGTGAAGACTTAGGAGTGACAAGTACCTTCAGAATTCTCAAGGGTTGTCAAAGGGAAAACAATCTATGTAGCTCCAGAGAAAGAACTGCATAGTTCTTAATGGGTAAAACTTACAAGGAGGCAGATTTCTGCTCTGTATGAGGAAGAACTTTCTAACATTCAGAACTGTCCAAAATTATGACAATCTGATTGAAAAAGAGGGAGTGCCTCCCATGGGAAATATTCACTCAGAGGCCACAAAACCATCTGTCACAAATGTTGACAGGGAAGTTCTGCATTGGGTTAAAAGTTGGCCCAGATAAACCTAAGGAATCACTGTGATGTTTTTATCTTATAAATATATCCATAAGGCTTTATAGAAGAGGTGAAGCATTAGCAGAGCCGTATATTAACCTCACATTTTTCTTTCTGACCTGCCCTCTATAGTACAGAGAGGGGAAGAAACTGAAACCCAAACCTAACTACAACAGCGTGGATCTTTCTGAAGTGGAGTGGGAAGACCGAGCTGAAACCGTGAGTGGGGAAGTGGGAGGAGCTGGTGCACCTCCACAGCCAATACATGAGCCAGCTGCATGGCTGGAAGCTCCAAGGTTGCTCTATAGCTCTCACTGGAGCCTTTCCAAGCCCAAACCAAGAAATTCCTATAATGGGTAATTCTTTAAACAACTATAAGAATATAACAATTATCTTCCTGAATCACAAGGATTACTGAGGCTGCATGAGCTCATGTCTATAAACTACAGGACTGAAGTTCTAGTGATATTTTAGTCTGGTTTAGTAGCCCATCCTAGAGGAAATTACCTAGAGGCACGATGACACTATGTTCCCTCATATATCAGTCCATGTTGGAACATTATCTTAGTGAATTTTCAGAACAATAAGCTAAATGGAGCCTAGAATCAGGTCTCTACTACCTCTCAGCTCAGAAGAAAAATGGAAGAGCCAAAAGTGTTCCTAGGGATCACCTCCAATCTGGTCAGTGAAGCGCCACACTCCATTAGGAACTCATGGCTAGGAACTCATGGCAAGGAACTAACTCCACTATCTTTCTTCTTAAAGCTGAGAACAGCTATGATCAATGGGGAAACAGGTTCTCTCTCTATGGATGTGAAGGTTCCACTGGACAAAGGGGTAAGGTACTAGAGAGAAAGAGCCAGGGTCTGGTCCCAGGAGACAGTATTGCCATTAATTGAGGTTTGGAATAATGACAAGGAACTTGGACTTCACTAAATTAGAGCTGTAGCCTGAGGGCTTGATTAGAGAGCATATCCAAGTGTGCCTTGGGCCCGGAGAAGCATCTGGCCAAAAAACTGTCACTCACACCAATACTGGGTTCTTTGGTGACTACTGAGTGAGGCAGTAGGTCAGCCCATTGTTTACAACTCTTCTTTCTTCCTTATGCTGCTTGCTACTTGGCCCTTTTGTTGTTTATGATAGAAAGGGAAAAGGTGACAGTTAATTTTGCAAATTGTTAGCAGTTCCTGTAAAACATGTTCTATGGGAGGACGTTAAAAATAATTGTTATTCTCTATAGCTAATTTTTATCCACTGTAACCACAGATGCTCAAGAATCAATACCCTCACCAACACCATTACTGTCTTCACAGACCTGCATATCATTTATGAAAGATCATTTTACCTTCTCATTTGAAAGGTTCTGAAGCATTTTCAGTGAATTTTCATTGTCCCTTGACATATTTACAAATGTCACCTCCTCCTTCACAGCCACCCCCACCACCTCCTCCTGCTGCCCATCTGTCTCAGCTGAAAGAACACAGGCATCTGTCTGCAACAATTAGACCCAAGTTCTTCTATAAACACAAACCTCCATGAAAGCCAAACAAGAAAGCACTGGAAAGGAAAAGCAATTCATTATATTCCTTTGAGATGCATAGACTGATTGTCACTGGGATCAATATATGATTTCTGTGGCAGCTGCCTTCTTTTTCTAAGGTCTGGGCTCAGAAGGGCCTCTTTTAGGCAGATTGGGCAGTACCAGTGATGTGAGACCATCAGTTACAGGCAATTGCTTCTCCTGATCCAGAAAAAAAAAAAAAATAAGGGTTTCTTTCATGAGCCTCCACCTTGATCCCAACAAGACACTAGCTCACATGCACAAGGGAGCTCTCAACCAGCCCAACCTTGCCAGAGCTGCTTTTAAGGCAGGGCTTGTTGTAAAGAAAACTTTAACATACCCATAGCATACAGCAACTTTAAGACTGATTTGAGTGTGGCTATCCTATACTGAATTCAGACCAGCTTATGAAGTGGGAGTGGTCTGTCAACCATCCTTTCCTTCTCATGCTGCCTTCACACTTCTCAACGCCACCAAGGGAGAGTCCTAACCAGATTCAGGCAGCTCGAACTTCTCCGGAAACCTCTGCCCATCCCTTTGAAATTTGTTCATTGCTACTAATAAATCATCCAAACCAAACCTGCAATTTAACAATGGCTTCTTGACACATGGGTGCTTAAAAATAAAGAAATAAGGTGATGATGACCATGGTCACAACTATGACGGGCAGTTCATAACAAACACATGTCCGGGCCTTCCTACTACTAATAGTAAAATAATAATAACAATAATAATGGCAGCTAACATTTATTAGAAACTGGACCAAGCACTTAATAAGCATTCACTCACTTAATACTCATAACCTTATGAAGTAGGTACTATCTATCCTATCCTCATGTTACAGGTGAGGAAATTCAGAGGTTAAAAACGTGTCTAGATTCACCTAGATGATTAACTGCGAAGTCCACATGGATCTGATCCTAGGCCACACACTCCCGACCACTAATGTATAAGGTCTTTCTGTAGGACTGGTCCTGGATTCTCAGCTCACTCTCCGGCCTTAAAGATTTCCCAAGAGTCTCTTTAGAATAGCATTTTTATTTTATCTTTACAATCCATTGTCTTCTTCTCTCCCTCTATGCCATCACATCAAAACTCGGCCCTCTTCAGTCTTTCCTCTCTTTACTCTCATGCCAGAAGCCACTGCACGTGCACGTCGCATGGGCCATTTTGCTGGTATAAAGGCCACTGTCATGGTATCCAGCCTCTCACTGCTTTGATCTATAATGATGGCACTCTTCCCTGATGGTGCTTCATTTCATTCACCACAAACGGCTCTGTCTCTCCTATATGTCCTTGCTTTTTCACAGGGTCACAGGCAGGCTTGCTGTTTTGTTGCCTGCCGGTCTTTCCCAGTCCTCCCTCCCCTCAGTGGCACATCTCACCTGACAAGCTCGTTCCTCCGCAGAAGCAAGGTCTAGGCTAAGGGAAGCTTTCTTAAAGTACAGACCTCCATGGAAGCCAAACAAGAAAGCACTGGGAAAGAAAAGCAATTCATAGTATTCCTCTTATCGCTCAAGCCATCCTCCGGCAGGTGATAACTCAGTTCCTTGTTTTCCCCAGGGGATTTGGCATGCATCCCACTGATGATTCAGGCCTTTCTAAATCCTCCCTAAACTGCAGACAGGTAACTATGGTGATATGACCTAGGACAGTAGCAGCAACTCCAGCGTGATTCAGAGCAGGACTCACAAACTAAAAAATGTACGGGGCCAAAGAGGCTATGTTCATAAATGTGCCTGAGAAAAGCAGACAAGTCTCAGTCCTGGGGGTGCTGGGAACTATGGCAAACTGGAGAGCACATGCGCCATCTAAAGGAGATAGCTAGGAATCCATATATTTTAATGTGTGCATCTAATTCCAAAAATGTTAAAAACACAATCTGAGCCAATATCTAGCATATCAAACTTGTAAAGAGGCCAAGTTTGTCCTGCAGGCCTCCTACTTACCACCTTGATAGAAAGCTATTTGCCCCCAAAATGTGGACCAATAACAGGTGGCATAATTCTTAACCCATCAGTAGCATCCTGGTCATATATCCTGGGACATGTCTAAAATAAAATCCAGAAGAGCAGAGTATCCTGCAACACCTTATCCTGGACCCTTTCATTTTCACATTGTCTGTTAGTTTAGAACAAGTATCTAGTAGCAGGGGAGGGGGAAAGGCACACATGGTATTCTTTACTGGCCTTCGGGCTCTTCCAAGTTAACTCTGCTGACGTGGGTGCGTGGTATGCACACACCCACACCCACACCAGCAGCTGGCACAGGCATTAGGGCAGCTTCACTGCATGTTCCTCTGCCTTCTAATCCCTATGCACTGGACTCAAGGAGACAGATTAGAGTGCTCCGTGGTTCGTTCTCTCTCTCTCTCTCTCTCTCTCTCTCTCTCTCTCTCTCTCACACACACACACACACACACACACACACACACACACACACACGGCAATCTATTAAAGGGAGGAGTCGTTTTGACACTTCTTTCCTTTCATCATCCAGACCTCTCCAGCCTCCTTCTGTTACTGAGATTTGGGTATATCCCTCCCCCTCCTTCTCTCTTGCTTTTTGCTTTAGTCTTAAAAGATGACCTCAAAGTTCTGATTTTGATCATGAGGGAGTAGTTTGCATTTAAACTAAACTTCCAGCAGATGACAATTATAAATCTGAAAAATATATTAGAAAACAAACATTTAAAGACACATGAAAGTGACCAAAAGCAGGCAGAAACAAAGGTTGAGGGGAATTTCAGCTGCTACCTATGGTAGTGAAGACGACTTGGAGTCTGAGTCACACTGAGGTAGAGAGAGCTTAGAAAACACCTCAGGATTTTTTTTGAAAGCACAGAAGAGCTACACTTTAGGAGTGAAGATTATGTGTCAAGAGCTAGGGGATTCACCCTAAGGCTAACAACAAAGTTGAAACAGACCCATTCACAAGCTCCACGAGCTCAGGGTGACTGGCCAATGATCTATCTGCTGACAAAATAAAAATAAACACCCTTCAGAGGAAGACAATATGTCTACAACCTATTCTTTACTATAGTCAGTATACAATAAAAATTATCAGACATGTGAAAGAACAGGAAAATGTGACACGTAGTTAAAAGAAAAAGCATCTTTAAACTGACTCAGAGATGACCCAGCTGTTTAAATTGAAGGACTTTAAAGCGTATATAATAAATTTGCACAAGGAATTCAGAAAAGATGGTCATAATGAGTGACTAGATGGAGAATCTCAGCAAAGAAATGATAGTGGTTGACTATCCACTATCCACTACTGGAAGCAGAACCAGTACAAGTGGTATGAATATAGGGTTTTATTTTAGGGGTTAGAACTTATGGACTAAGGGACTAAACTGTGGGAGCTGGTGGAGAAGCCTACAAGAGGCTGGTATCTCTGCATCCAGTGGCAACATTGAAGTCACCGCAGGTCGCCAGGGCCAGCAGTTGGGAAGGAAAGCTGGATGACATGTGGAGGAAGCAAGAACAAACTGGAACCCTTGAAGAAAAACAAGAACCTATGAGGAAAAACTAAAATCCAAATTTGTCTCTAACCACAGTGATATCAATGACCTGCAGAAGGAGCTAGTGCCCTTCACATGGAGCTGCAGGACTCAGATCTCAAGAGAAAGTGAAGGAGGAGATCCAGTGGCAGCTAAGGAAGCCGTAAATGGGGCTGTTTACCCAGGCCAAGAAGATTAGTCAACAGTTCAGAGAAAGCTACAAGTGCCTGATACTTATCTTTATTATGTAAAATGGTTGCTGCTTCATTTCTGCCTTAAAAATTTCACGCAAACTTCTCTTTTGGCCAGCACCAACTTGGAATCATACAGGGAAGTGGATTTGGAAATGTAGTTCCAGATTAGTTAATTTGACACAGTATAAAACTACCATAATAACCAAATACAGTTTTAGAACTGAATAATACAGTATCTGAAATGAAATTTTTACTGGATGGGAATTCTGGCCAAGATGGCAGAGTAGATAAATGCTGTGCTGAGTACTTCCTATGACCATTTCAAAATCACAACTAAATAACAGAACAACCATCAGTGAGAAGAGCCTGAAATCTAGCTGAACAGAAGTTCTACAACCCCTGATATAAAGAAAAGGCCATGGTGAGACTGGAGGGGCAAAGACACAAAAGGGGCTGTTCCCACATCCATGGCGGTGGTACACAATCAGGAGGGATATCTCAGTGCAGAGATGCCCCCTGAGGAACCAGGAGTCACAGTCCCACACCAGGCTCCCAGCCCAAGATTCCGGTAGAGGGAAGA